GGCTTGTCGACGACGAGGAATTTGATTAGCTTGGTGATTCGACAAGGGTCTTCCCCTAAAGAGACGGGCAGCTCCACTTCTCCCATGGACAAAATGCCTTCTCCTGTGAATCCTTTCAGAGGTGTGGAGACGGGATTAAACCGGGCATTATCTATGCCCAGTTGCTTAAAAGCGTGGAGGTACATGATGTCAGCTGAGCTTCCACCGTCCACTAATATCTTCTTGACCAAGAAGTTGGCCACCGTTGTTGTTACTACCAATGCATCGACATGGTCTTCATCTGGACCTTCAAGGTCGGAGGAGTTGAAGACTATGCTGTGATCAGGTCTTCGTATTTGATATATGCGTGCGGACGGAGCGGCATGTTTTTGATTCATGCGTGCTGATCGAGCGAGGGTGCGTCTTGCATTTTGTGAGTCGCCCCCCGCCGGTCCTCCGGAGATAAAGGAGATGATTCCTCGGGTAGGCTGATTATCGTTGTTATCTAGGTCACGGCGATGACCTCCATCCTCTCGCCTTTGTTGTTGATCTCGATTGTTATCTCGGCGTGGAGGGTCATCACGGCGCTTATTTCGCGGCTTATCAATGTATTCGCCTAAATGGCCCTGTTTGATAAGCCTCTTGATCGCCACTTTGAGTTGTGCACATTCCTCCGTAGTATGCCCTCTGTCCTTATGGAATCGACAATAACGATCCGATTTTTCTCGCTTTGCGTTTGGTTGCATAGGACGTGGAGGTTCTGTTAAGCCTTTCTGTTCTATCACATGAAGGATTTCCGTGAGGCGAGCGTTTAGCGGAGTGAACCTATTGTAGGAGGAAGAGGGTTGGCTTTGAGGTGGAAGTGGTGGACGTCGATCATCGCGCCTCCTATTGTCCTGACGGTCGTCTTCTCTTTTTCTTTTAGGAGGAGCATGGGTAGAGGCTTCCTCTATCCGGACGTATTTTTCGGCTCGATTCAGTAACTCCTCTAAGTTGCCTGGGGGTCTTCCGGCGATAGATTCTTTGAATCTACCAGGTTTCAAGTTCTGCTGCATAATCCCGGAGAGCATGTCTTGCCCCACACTGGGGACTTCGTGGACAGCCTCTACGAAACGCTTAATGTAGTTGCGGAGTGTTTCGTTATCTCTTTGTACTACAGAGAAAAGATGAGCTGGGGTCTTGGCATATTGTTTGTTGATGGCGAATTGGTTGGTGAACCGGGTCGACAACCGAGCGAATGTGTCAATGGACCCTATGGGTAGGGAGTTGAACCAATTCATTGCCCTCTTGGAGAGAGTGGTGCGGAACATCTTGCACATCGCAGCGTCTGTTGGGCCATATAAATCCGCCATGGCACTGAATTTCTCTATATGTTCCTGTGGGTCGGTGGTCCCTTCAAATTGAGGTAAACCTGAGATCTTCACTCCTTGAGGTAATACCTCGTTGAGAATATCTATGGTGAAGGGACTGCGTCTTGTTGGGAGAGGCATTCTCTCACCCATTTGATTATTTGGTTGAGAGAAAAGGTTTTGGCGAGACATTCGGCTGTTTACCTCGCCTTCTCCCTCATTAAAGAGAGGGATTCTCGGTGGTGATGCATTCCCCCGTAGGGGTGAGCGCCGACGTTGTTGTCTGGGCTGTGCTCCTCTATGATTAGTAGATAGTTGAACTCGGGACCGTGGGTCCGACGTAGAGGAGGAAACACTTATTTGATTCTGGATTGGCGGTGGGGCCACTGGTGGTACTATGGGTGGAGCTTGTGCTGGTATTGCATTGGGAGCGTTTGCTCCCATCGTGGCGATATATTGAGTTACGGCCTCCGTGGCGGCGCGAGTAGAAGCTTCCGCTATCATACGTTGGAGCGCGTCCTCGGTTATTTGAACCGTTCGAGGAGCAGGGAGTGGTGGATCGGCGAGTGGTGGGTCCCGAGGAGGGATCACCTGAACCTCGCGAGGTGGATCTGCAGCACGTGTAGGAGCTGGCTCCGTAGCACGTGGAGGAAGTTGTTCCGCGGCGCGTGGAGGAGGTGGTATGCCAGATCCTCCACGGACTGGGAGGTTATTTGCTGTGTCATTTTCTCTCCGAGCTGACGCCTCAGGAGGATCTTGTTGGCTACGTGATCTGGTTTGCATCGTTCCCACAGACGGCGCCAAAATGATGATGCTAAAGTTTAGCTCACCTAAGATAATGTAGAAAATGAGCTGGGAGAGCAAAGCTGATCAGTAGCTAGTCAATTCGATGCTCCTGAGGTCCCTACGAAAAGAGCACACGTGAGCTAAGCCGGGGGTTGATCCGGCGGAAACCCCTCGGCCAGTCTTCCCTAGTGTATGGATCGTAGAGAGAGTAGAGAGAATAAAACTTGAGGTGAATTGTCAATGATCAGAACGTACCTTTACGAATGAATAAACCATCTATTTATATATCGTAAAATGGGTTGGACTTACTTTGTTGGGCCCAAGCCTTATTTTGAAGGAGCTTGGGCTTTTGTGTAATTGGCCTAATTGGTAGATAAATTTGAGGGCCCATTGGGCCGACCCATTCAGGTATATCAATATCTTATATGTTTTATATATAATTAGGCTGTGATTAATGAGGTTTTTGTTTTATTATAAATTGTTTGATAGTATAATTGTATATATTTGGAGCATGGTTATTGAATCGGAAAATATCGGGGTATCGTTTTCTTCCGTGTATCGTATCGTATATTTAACCAACTATTAAAAATAATAAAGTATATATATTTACATAATAGAAATACAATAAACATGTAAAATTTAATATATAAAGTCAAATCAAATTTCAAATTTCAACATTGCATTATAAAATAGGAAAAACAATCATAGTTGCTCTTAAAATAACATTTCAAATTTCAATCCCTAATTTCTAAGTTAAAGACTAATCTATCACTCCTAATCTTAAAGATCAATGTTACTTAAATCTTCTTCATCCAATGTCAAACGATTGTCTTCATCATCGTGTTCATTAATCTGTTCAATCAATTCTAAAAATCGCACAAACACCCCAACTAAGATGAAAATTGAATCAATCACCACAAATCAACTAACCCACCTCAAATTAAGCAAACCCATCACACAAAATCGAACAAACCCAAGGTTAAATGAGCACAAAAAGGACGTAAAGCTGCGGTAAATCGCGACCTCGTTCAAATTGCGCGAAACTCAATCAAATTCACACTTGAATCGCAAAAAAAATAACAAGAATCTATGAAAATTGAGTTAGGGTTGCCGTAAGGCTATAATTTTTGAAGAAATTGAAGAGAGAAAGGTGGATTAGTGTTGTGAATTTGAAGGGTTATTTTGAAATCCGTTTTTCAACCCTGAAATTGTGAAATTTTTTTTGTGTTTAAATATTTTGACTAATATCGTAAATATCGTATCGTATCGTGATATGGCGATACGATGCGATATCTCGCGATATTTACCGATATTTAAACATAGCCGACACAGAGTCCGAATTGTATCGTTTTGATTGAGATCGTACCATATCACGATATCTCGCGAGTTTAACTACCATGATTTGAAGTGATTTAGTGTATAACTATATATACATGCATAGAAAAACACTTCCCACAAAATAAAATAGAAAAAAGATTTAAAAAAAAAAAAAAAAAACCTCCACAAAGGAGAGAGTAGTGAAACACCACAATTAGAAGGATTATTCAGCAAATAATTTATATTCCAATTCCTATATATATGCTGAAAATATTCAGTTACATGTTACCACAACTCCACAATGGCCACAAATTAATGATTTAATTTATTCTTGCATTATCAATTCTGGATAAAAAAATATTCATATTCATCCAATAACCCAAATATTATTATTCTACATTCCAAGTTCTTAAGCCTATCTCCATGGAATTTGATTCCTTCAATCTTGAATTGAAGCATTTCGTAAGATATAACTTATTATTAACTAAATAATCACGTCTTATATTTGATATTTGGTTAATTAAAGCCCGTTTGGCTAAACTTATTTTAAACGCAGCTGATAAACTCCCATGGATAAGATATTTTAAGAGCTGATCGATAAGCTATGCTGCACGGACACTTCTAGAAGGTGAAGACTCTCCGTATTCGATACTTAGACACTCGGACACACCCTGACACTTCTCGGACACACCCTGACACTTCTCGGACTCCCGTGTCGGGCCGTGTCGTAATTTCGCTAAAAGTAGGACACCCGTATCGGGCAGTGTCCACAATTTTAAAAAAGTGGGGACACTTCTCTTACGTTTTAAGAGGAGCCCTAATAAAAAAAATGCGCATTTTCTTTTCTCTGTAATACTCATTTCCTCTGTTTTCTTTGTAAGTCCACCCAAAACTCCAAAAGTCTAGCATGCGACGGCGACCAAGAATACGAGCAATAAGGGCGAGCGGTTCTCTTATGCGATGACGACTTATACATATTTTTTACAATTTATAAATGTACTCCTATATTTTTTATTATTTATAAATATACCCCTATATTTTTTATATTTATTCGTATCCCCGCGTGTCCGTATCCTAGTTTTTTGAAAATGTCGTATCACCGTGTCCGTATCCGCGTATCCGTGTCCGTGCAGCATAGCTGATAAGCTGTTACATTTATTTTTAGAATTAATTTTTAAAGTGCTTGGTAATGAATTTATTTGCTATTTTATCATTATAAGATCTTAAATAAAATGGTGGGGTGGAAATACTTATTAGACAATATCTTATTTGTTGTCCAATATCTTATTTTTAAGAATTTTTTTAAAAAAAATTACCAAACATTTTGAAAGAGCTTATAAGCTCGTTTTTATAAGCTTAGCCAAACACCCTCTTAGTACAATAATTTTTCAAAACGATCAACAAATATCAGAAAATGAATTGTACTCGATTTGTCGAAAATTTATGCAATGGACCTTCCAATGTTATCATAAGATTATATTCTATAATTTTATCTTGATTAATTCTATCTTGACAGTCTACGTAGAATCCGATGCTCAAGTATAATCAAGAAAATAACCACCACTATCCTAGATATTTCTCCAATTGTAACCACATAATAACTCAAAAAGTCCTATATAACCCCCACCAAGGTACAATCCTCAAAACACAACACAAAAAAACTTCCAAGTCTCATTACAATACAATTTGTTTGTGTGTGTGTCTTAAAATACATGGCTTGGTTTGGCGCCAACAAAACCAAAGCTTATCAAACCTATCCCGAACCGGGCTACGGTGGGATTGGTTATCCGGACTACGACATAGTCGGCTTCTCCGCAACCCAAAACTCGCAGAGCTATGTGGCCACAACCGAACAAGTTGTTGAGTTTAAGCGCTTTCCTTCGTTTGGAGATCATCCCAAACATAGCCCAACAAGAAAAGACTTGTACCACGAAACATGGGATAAGCCCATGACAGGTCCGTATGGGCCGGCCCGTGATAAGCCTGAGAAAGCCCGTGATTTCTCTCCCAAGTTCGGCAATAATCCAATGATCCACCAACAAAACAAGGGTTCACCAAAGAATACACATGATCACTATGGTAAGTATAACAACTTTAGTGACGATGATGATGATTATGATGATGATTATGATGGTATAACGAAGAACAACAACAATGACTATAATGCCCCTCCTCCTTCTTACACCCGATACCATGAAACACCAAACCCTAGTTACAGTAGCTATTCGCCACCTTCTTCCTACACCGTTCCTCTCAATACACCACCACCACCACCACCACCACCACCAACAACAAAAGATCATAACACATATAACTATGAAAAGTCCAACAACTACGATAGGCTCTTTTTGAACAATCCACCACCACCAGTCAAAACGAGAACTGACACGGGCCGGGCCCGCGAGTTCGCTACTGAAAGCCCGAAAAACTCCCCAGTCTCATCGGCCAAGGCAAAGCAGACACAATTCATGGTGGCGTCGCCGAAGAAGTATGATATCCATCAGGGCTATCAGGAAACCATCGACAGCGCAGAGGCCCGGAGGAGATACGGGAGGGGGCCTCAACGGGCCGGGTCCCGTTTGGAGGAGAAGTACATTGTGACCATTGACAGCAGAGAGGCTGCTAGAAAGTACAATGGTGTCTTTGTGCCTAATTGATGAGAAAATGAAACTAACTAAATTAATTATGAACTAATTACGTACCCCCATGCATGCATAATATTAATTAATATCGACTATATGTGTGTCTATGTTATTTCTTGATGTTTGAAGCTTGTTGTAAGAAGGTTGTTGTACTGAAGTAAGTTACATAAACAGCTTGAGACAAGTGATGTCAAGAATGTATCCTTATTTATATTACAAAAAAAAATGTCTATATATGAGAAATATGAGTGCTTTATTTTTCCTTTGGTTGTAATATAATATTAATTAGTAGTACGATTTATTTTAGCAATAATTGATATAATACAGGTGTAGAAATGCAATGAACTTGAAAAAATCATAAAGCTCGTAATTAAATGTCATAGTCGAAATTAAAATTAATTAGTAGTGCACTGTTCATTTTGTAGGTCAACAATTGTTGGTAATTAACCAAAGAAAAAGTAATTGTTGTGGAAAATTATTAATCCGTGTTTTTTAATAGATCATTTCTAATTATGATATTGAGTAAAAGTCTGAATTATGCAAACATAGAATATGTTGTCAACTTTGATGTGTTTAGTTTGACTTTATTCCCTCAAATAATTTTGACTTTGTTCTTAAATTGAATCAATTTAGTGTGTTGGATTTATATATTTATAAATACAAATAGATATAAACAACAGCCACCCGATTTGTTGTGTGCTAAAAATGCCTACACCATATGTTGAACTTCACCTGATTAATTATATTTGATCATATACGTGTGTGTATATAATTATATATACGATGTGTCTTAATATGTTTTGGTACGTTGATTAAGAGGGTGTCTGGTTAAGTTGATAAGTTGTTAAAAATAGCTTATAAGATAATTAACTCTTCCAATGTATTTGGTAAAATTTAAAAAAAAAATTTAAAAATTCAAAATAATAAGCTCTTGGAAGCAAATATATATTTTTTAAATGTGTTCACCCCGTCTTTTTATAAAAGATTTTATAGTGAGTAAAAATAACTTATAAGCTGATTATCCGAACACTTTTTATAGTCAATTTTAAAAATATCGTGAAACAACTTATTAGATGTAAAAGTTTATCGACTGTTTAAAACAGGTTTTGCCAAACGGAACCTTGTCATAGTATATTTTGTCGATCATGCATGTACTATGCATATTTAATTACAATTTGTGATTATTATTTTTCCAAATTGACTGATCCGAGAAGAGACTGCTGTCTTGATATATTATTAAAGAGTTAAATGATTTAATTTTTGAATTCTTTTACTTATATTTTTATATATATATATATATATATATATATATATATATATATATATATATATATATATATATATACATTATTACCAATGCAGCAGGCAATGTTTGGCATGGCAATACACAAACTGAAGTTGACCTTAATTCTCTGCGTGCTGCCTTATTTATTTATTAATTAATATCAAAATAAAACATTTCATGTACATTTCAATGGTAACTATATATAGAAATACACTATACCAATATTTATCAATTAATCGTATGCCACTTATTTATTTAGGTTTAATAAAAAATAAAAAAATAAAAAAAAATGAGTTACTTCAACTTTATTTAAAGATCGAATTTGATGATGCTAGAGTTAGATCACCTGAAATAGTGGATGTAGGATGAGCTGGAAGAGCATAGTGGATCACTGGCTCACGAGCTTGATGACCTTGAGATACCTGCGATCACAGAACACGTAAACTAGGCCGGGGTTGATCCGGCGGAAACCCCTCCGACGCTCAAGTCAGACGTGCGGATAGTGGAAATAGTCCAGATAATACATATTATAGTATTGCTCAGTTAATAGGACGTACCTCAAGAAATGAGTTCAAACATTTATTTAAAGCTTAGTTGAGATTGTCGGGCCCAAACCTTGCTTGAAGGTGATTGGGACTCGGTGATAGTGGTCTTCGATATTGGGCTCGTGGCTCAGTAGGTAAATAATTTGTAGGCCCATTGGGTTGGGCCAATTAGGCATATCATTAGAATCTATGCATGAACTAGAAATCGAAGAGGAGACTATACAAATTACGAATCAAATTTTTAAAGTTTGCATCAATTCGATTTACCGGACTACTGCTATATATGTTTCAATCTCGATTTTCTTTTCCCCATTCCAAAGCTGAATTTTTTTTCGATCGCAGCAGCGTTATGGCAAACCATGGTTAAGCCACTATTAAACGAGAGGCGGAGAATGAAAAAAAAGAGAAATAAATAAAACTAAAGTGGTGTTGGCTAAAAAATGTCCATAGACTCGTTTATAGGTGGTTGCAAATTGCAATCATACATAGGGAATGCATTAATTATATAAGACTAAATTTAGAGATGCCAATTAATTTTGTTAGGTGCTACTATATTACTATATATGTGCCTCTGAGCTAGGGTTTTAGGTTTAGGCCTTCGACCGATTCTTATTCGAAAAATCGATGTTTGTCATTTCGATTACGGAGTTACATTTTTTTTTTCAAATTTTAGGATTTTTCAACAAATCTATTTGAATTATTCGGATATGTTGATTATATATACTATTAATATCATTACTATATGGGCTCGTTCGGTTACCTATATTGGATTAGATTGGATTACATGAGATTGGATTAACTCCCTACTGACTAATTAATTATTTAGTTAGTAGCATGTTCGGTTTCTTAGATTATATTTTCTTTTAAATTTGTTAAAATCGGTTATTATATATGTAATGTCTATAAAACCACTTAGTTTACAATAATAAAATATGATTTTAAGGATAAAATTGTCTTTTTCCTTTTTAATCACCCCCTATTAAATTAATCTCAGGGGGAGGGGTGCTACTAATTTAAAGAAATAGTAGCATTTAAAAGCGGACTTTGATTTTAGTAGCGGGTTTGAAAAAGTGTGAATCTTACCAACCGGACATGCTATTATCCCCTACCATTTAGTCAGTAGAACCTTATAGCGGTAACCGAACGAGCCCTATATATATATATATATATATATATATATATATATATATATATATATATATATATATATATTTATATATATATTGTATCTATTTTATTTATACTAGTTTTATCATTTAATTATGGACAGTATTATTTAGTCTTGGTTATGAAATTTCAAAGCCGGCCACCTTTGAAGATATTTCCAGAAAAAAAAAAGTAATAAGAAAATAGTTATATTAGTGCCAATTTTTTTTAATTAGAATTTGAAGAAAAATGTAATTAAATACACAGTTAATTAAACGACGTCGTTTTGCTATCTGAACAAAGCTTAAGAGAATAAAGAAGTTAAAAGGCTCCTAGTGGAACACGAATTATATTTTTCGTGCGCCACGTAATAAAGATGGTCACGACGATAACAAAATTTATGCTGCATGAACTGTTTGGTACACTTGAATTTATTATATTCATTAATTTAAATTTTAAAATAATAATATTAGGAATTTAAAAAAAAATTGATAAATGAGGTCATCAACTTGTGCAAAACAGGTAGCCAGAAAATGCTGTTTCAATAAAATAATAATAATAAGGGCAAATGGCAAATAGGCCCATCACATGGGACTTAAATGCATTTTAGTCCACAAAAAAAACAGTCTCTCAATTAAGTCCATCCCCATGTCTTTAGTCTAAAATACCCTCAATAATATAATTCTTAACAATTCCACCCATTATGCTCTAACTTCCTTAATATTACACATTGACCCCGGATTTAAATAAATATATCACATTAACCCCCAAAACTTTTTTTTTTCAGAAAATAATTTTTTTTCTGAACTGTTTTTTTTCCGGCCAGATTCCGGCGTTGACTTTTTTTTTTTTTTTTTTTTTTTTTTTTTTTGAAATTTTTTTTCCTGCTTTTTTTTTCCGGCCGGTCAACCACCGTTGACCGCCGGTTTCCGGCGTTGACTTTTTTTTTTTTTTTTTTTTTTTTTTTTGAATTGTTTTTTCTTAGAAAAAAAATATTTTAATTAATATTACTGTCTTGACTACTAAATTATTGTCTCAGACAGTAATATTACTGTTTGAGACAGTAATATTATGAATATTA